TTAAAACATTTTTAATATTTTAAACCCCTTTCAAACACTCCTCAATATTTTCAATGTTGAAATATTGAATAAAGTATAAATACAACATATTTCTGTAATACTCTAATTTAACTAAAAAAAAATGACCAGAAAAAAGTACAAATGGTGACAAAAAAATGTATAAAGTAATAACTATAATGTTTTATATACATTAATAGCTAAGCCATGCAAAATAACAATAATAAAATAATGAAGTATAATTATGTAATCAAAACTGATAAAACCATCATATGTTTTTAGCTAACATTTGTTTTGCACATTTTGTATGGCTATTTTTGTCACAGGCCTAATTTAAGTTTAGTTGTCCAATATTTAGTCCATGCTCAAATCTATTTTCTATTAATAATATTGTTAAAAAAAAATTTCTTTGAAAATACATCAACTTAGTCTTCAAATGAAGGGAAATTTTTATCAAAATTTTATTATATTTCTTAAAACTTATAAAAATTAATGTTTTTTAATTTTGATATAAAAACTGTAGCCTTTCTGCAATAAAATCTAAAAAAGGATTAACACAAAAGATAACCACAGTACATTAAATACAATGAGTTGTGATTTTATATCTAAAGGGGGTTTTAAGGCACCATAACATCTATATATGCATAAATATATATATAGAGAAATGATATCTTTAAATTATTGAGTGATTTCTTATTGTTCTTATTGTTGGTAATCAATTATGATTAAACTCCCAATACAAGATTATTTTAGAAGAGGCAGAAATAAAACCTTAGTTGTCCATACAAGAGGCAGAAATAAAACCTTAGTTATCCATACAAGAGGCAGAAATAAAACCTTAGTTATCCATACAATAGACAGAAACAAAACCTTAGTTGTCCATTTATTTAAACCTTTAATTCAAACTAGCAAAATGGAAAAAGTTAAATGTTCCTTTTGCCATAACATTATGTCTAAAAATTGACCTTGAAAAACATGAATGGTCTGGAAAACTCAGTAAATAATAATAAATAAATTTTTTTAAATTTTCCTTGAAATTAAGAATAGGGCTTTTTTTTTAAGAGCCTACTAGCGAAATATATTTTTTTTACAAGTATAACAAACAAACATTGTAAGACAAAATTACTATTAAAAAAGTAAACAAATAAAGTTAAACTTCAATTATCTGGAACTAAACTTATAATAGAGTTGCAAAAAAACACATTTTTCTCCTCATTACTAATATCAAAAAAAAAAAAAAACAACAAAAAAAAAACTGAAATATAACTTGTATTAACAAGAGAACTGAAAGAAATTAATGTTTGTGAGATAGCTGAGATATTTGCTCTAATTGTTTATAAGATTAACTAAGTATAAGTTGCTAAGAGTGAACTTGATGTCTTATTAAAAATGTTAATAACCTACTCAAAATATTAGAAACTGTCTGTACTAATCAAGCACATCATACTAAAATATAACTTTATATGTTATGTACTGTTTGTACCTTAATCTTTTAAATCTAGGACTGCCATTTTGTTTTTTAAAGTTGATCTAAGCTGAATTTTTTGAGCACTAATTTCTGAAACACATTCTGATAAATTTTTCAAGTATACTACTTAAATCTGAAATCAATTGCCATTGTACAAAATATTCATTTTTTTTTTTTAATTTTTTTTTTAATTTTTCTCAACCTTATGACTCAAAATTAAAACATTGTTTAACAATGCTGCTGCTCAAAAAAACATTTTAAATGTGGTACTGTTAAGAATTTTGAGCTCAACTGCTAACAAACCAGTCTAGTCTTACATCACTACTGGATTTAACCTACATCAATACTGAAATTATAAATTGGACAAAATATGTGTTAAAATAAAGCTATCAATCTTAAAAAGTCATGAAAATTAATTAGATTTTTTATTGTTGATAAGAAATTTGTCTCAAAATTAACTAATTTTGCTCTATAACTTCTATCACTAAAAGATTCTGTTTAGTTAATTTTTATTTGTTAATTGCTGTCACTTAAAAAATTACTAATATACTTCTTTTTTACTATTTCTGTCATTGATTAAATTAGCAAAAAAACATTGGTTAACAGGTAAACATTGCTTTGGTTAACAGGTAAACATTTTACGTATAAGAATTTCCTACAACAAAAGATATGCAGATTTTAAAAAACATAGGCAATGCATATATGTTTTTTTACACTGAGTGACTTAAATCTTACCCTAGTGATTGCATCAACACACATTCCTTGTGGAAATGCAGTCTGTGTCAGCTCGTGGAGAGAAAAAACTATACTGGTTAAAGTCTCTGAAACACTCTGCTGAAGTTTAATTCTTTTATTTTCATCTATAGCTAAATAATAAAATGTAAAAATTAGCAAAAGCATAAAAAATAAAAATTAAACAAAAATTATTGAAAAACTTGTAACTTTAACACCTAAAAATTCTAACAAAAAAATAAAAATGAAATCATTAGCAATAAATAGTGAACTCACTACATTTTAGTTTAGTTAGACACCATAAAATTTCTTCTAAAATAATTTCAATTTGATCAACCATAAGTATCTAACAGTAAAAAATAAAAAAACTTTGAAAATTTGGTTAAAAAACCATTAAAAACAATATAAAACTTCTAAAATTAGTACAAATGATGATGTAGCAGTTTTTTCATTTATGATTTTGAAATGAGAACGCTTTTCCACTTCAACATCCTAAAAATACAAAAGATAATAATCAAATAAATAAAATAAACTTCAGAGTTTTGAAAATTACTTTTAACAAATTCAAAAATCTTAGAAAATACCTCATCAATATCTCCAATACAACTATGCAAATCCTGGCATAACTTTACAATCTAAAATAAAAATTATATATATACATATATATATATATATATATATATATATATATATATATATATATATATATATATATATATATATATATATATATATATATATAAATATATGGAATAATGTATATAAACAAAAATGCATTTATAGAGGTTAGTTATAATTCAAGGAAGTATATTACAAATCAGAAAAGTATGAATCATTGTCTGTATTGATCTTGTATCATAAAAAGAGATTATTTAAGTAAATTATGAACTATTAAGCTACAAGTTCTGTCATAAAAAAATAAAAACAGAATGTAATAAATAACATACAATCAAATTATTTAATTTGCTTTCACGATGAATGCAGAGATACTTTGCAAGAACATTTTTCGATAAAATAACATCTTCTAAAAATAGTAATATTTTTATAATAATGATTAAATTTTTATTTTAATAATCAAATAATTATATAAATATAAATATTTATACTATTTATAATGAATTTTTTAATATCTAATTTTCTTATTTCTCATTGCATCTTGGGTTGGATAAAAAGAAATAAGGGTTCTTAGTAAAATTCTTTATCTACTTTTAATATTAAATACTTATCATAGACAATTATGTTGCATATAGTATATGCAACATAATTGCATATGTTAGACAAATATGTTGCATATAACATAATTGTTTATGAGCCAATGTTCAATTAAATATTTACTAAAAATCTTTATTAAATATACTTATATTGGTCTTGAGTAAGCTGTCTAGGACCTAAGGCCAAAAGTTGCTGGAAACATTTTTGATTGGCATGATTAGAAGTGGCACAAATCTCATTTACTATTACTTATTATTATTTTTTGTTGTAACATTTTTTTAACCAAATATATAAAAATATTATTTGTATACAAAATAAAGAATTCCGTTAACTCGGACTCTGAACAGATATATATATTTTATCCGACTTAGCAAATGTCAGAGTTAAGCGAAGCTTTTGGCATGTATAGAGAATTCAAGGAGAATTAAAAATTTGTCTAACTTGGAAAAGGTCCGACTTATCCAGGGTCTGAGTTAACAAGATTCTACTGTACTGAGAAAATTGAAAAATTTAATCAATTAAAAATTAATCAGTATTTACACATAAAACTTTTCTTTTTAAACTATACATAATAAAGGAGTTCAACTTATTATTTATGGTGTTGACTTGTATGAAACATTTTCATACAAAGAAAAGAAGAATTAATTTTTTTACTATAACAAATAAAATACACCACAAGTCATTTTTGGACAAAAATTATGAAACACATAATCATGTTATATAAAGTTAGATACATGAAAGATATTTGAATGAAGATATTTGAATGAATGCAATCATTTTAATTGCAAACATGAGCATTGTGTTTAAAAATAAACTAAAATTTAGTAACCATTTTATAAGTAGTACTGTTTGTGTTATTTTATTTGTGTAGACATATACAACGGTTTTTATGAAGCATTGAAATGGTGATGAATAGCGACAAAGAAACATTTTAGAAACTTTATGACTTTGTAACTGCATTAAGGACCTAAGTTTGTTTATTTAAATAAATCTAATGATATCGATACTGTTTCCTAATCATTTCAAATGTTTAATTTATCAGAAATGTTTGGATCTAACTGGTTGATTTGCAAAGTCAGTTATAACTTGGATTGTAATGTTCAACAAAAAAAAAAATATGTTTAATTATCAAGCATTCAACAAACAACTTGAACAAATTAAATGTATTTCTAATTAATATAGAAAAATATTTTGGGTTTCCTGCAGCACCAAAAACTTAAAACATTTTTCTGCAGATTTAAGTTTCTTGATGGCCCCATCAGTGCAAACATAATGGGATAGTCACGACCAGTAAAATATAGGGACTTGGCCATAAGACACGAAAAAGACCTAGTACTAAATATAATATTATGGAACAAACTCCATGGAATTTTCACTATGTATAAAAAAACTGCAATAAGTTTTTAAAATATATAAAGGCACAAATTTGATATTAAATACCATTGTGTATATAAAATTATAGCTAATTAATTGTAATCATTTGTATCTTTTTTTAATACTAAATTATATTTAACTTTGTGCCTTTAGTTTTAAATAAGTTCCTATACATTAGTTGTATTGATATATATAAGTATTAATGTACAAATATTATGAGTAATAATAATTAAATATTATGAGTAATAATGTGTAAATATTATGAGTAATAATATAGTAATAATAATAGCAAAAAAAAAATTTGAAAATAATGGCGAATATATCATTTTAACATGATTAAATCAGATGAAAACCTTTTATTTCAACAGTAAGTTCTTAATAGTCTTATTTATTTATTTAGACTTTTATTTTCTAAATATAGAACTATATTTAGAAACATTTTCATACAAAGAAAAGAAGAGTTAATTTTTTTACTATAACAAATAAAATACACCATAAGTCATTTTTGGACAAAAATTGTGAAACACAGAATCATGTTATATAAAGTTAGATACATGTTACATATCAGAATATTCAGTGAACACTTTATAAGACACTGAATGAAGTCAAACTAATGTGATTTATTAAAGAAACACCAAACCCTTAATTAATGTTGATTCAGGGTTTGGGTCTTACATATAATGACATTTGAACAAATTTCAGAAACACCTCAAGTCTTTTTTAGACAAAAATGAGTCAAGCATGATATTATGTTATCTCAAGGTAATGTATCTTGAGATAACATAATATCATGCTTGACTCATTTTTGTCTAAAAAAGACTTAAGGTGTTTCTGAAATTTATTCAAATGTCTTTATATGTAAGACCCAAACCCTTAATCAACATATACATTGAAGCCCCTAATTATAGTATAATAACAACATCAGCAATGTTTTGTGTATCAATATGTATTTTTTGTGTATATCATTATAAAAGAGTATTTTAAGTTATTATAATAAATTATGAATATTTAGTATAAAGTTAAAAGTAATTTTAGCAAAATAACAAAATAATATAATCTAGAAAGCACTAACTTGCTTACAACACCTTACACCTTACAACAAAAAACCTAGAAAATAATTATAGTATAAAAAGCACTAACTTATTTCATGTTCACAACATAACCTCGAAAACCAATTATACATCTGCTGAAACTATAGTTTTGAAAAAAAAAAAATAAAATAAAATACAACAAAATTAAATTTAGAAATATCTAAATTAACCTTGACTAATTTTAAAAAAAGTATAAAATTAAAAAATTAAAAAGTGCTGAACATCTTATTAACTTAAGTAAACAAAAAAAAGTTATTTTTTGGTCAGAAATAAAAAGTACCTCTTCACTATCTGAGGATAGATGAGGAATTAAATATGATAAAGCATTCATCAATGTTTGTGCCTCCTTAACACCAAACTCATCATCAGGTGATGTTATTATTTTAATTGCCATTCTCTATAAAAGTTTAAATTAACGAGGTATATTGTAATCATATTCATTGACTCCATTTTCAACCAGTAATACTACTTTTAACTCATAATTGCTTTTTTTTTCTATATACATATACATACAGACATACATACATACATTACATACATACATATATACATACATACATACATACATTAGTAAAGTTTAATAAAAACAATCGTCTTGTGATTTGATTTTCACTTGTTATATATCTGTCAACTATTTAAATTCATATCCTGAATCTAATGTTATTGTGGTGTGTATAAAAAAAGTGCTGACAAAAAAATTGTCAAAGTGCTGACAACAAAGTTGTCAAAGTACTGACAACTAAGTTGTCAAAGTGCTGACAACAAACTTTTTAAAAACTTTTGATCATAAACATCATTTATATATTTTTTAGTTTTGTAAAAAATGATACATAAAATATGCAACTAATATCATTTGCAATTTTTTTTATATTACTATAATAGTATTTTACAAAACTTTAAATTTAAATTTTCAAAATATAAATATCATTAGCAGACTGATGCACAACATAATCAAAATTTAATTTAAAAAAGTTTTGAAATCAGAAAACAACACAGTTTTTTCTATAATACAGTTTTTGCGGACATTTTCATTAAAACTTTTCCTGGTTCAATGGTTTATCTAATTACTATTTTGAAATTAAACGTTTTGGATTGCTGCAAATAGAATGAAATAGTTAAAACTAGATTTAAAAAACCTATTTAAATCATTATTTAGCTTTAATTAGTATAAATCAGCTCAAAAAATGTTTAACTAATTAAAAACACTAAAACAAATCATGTGACTTAACGAGGTTAACAAACAACATTTTCATTGCGTTAAAAATATGAGGCAAACTCATGACATAGTAAACATAACTATTAAATACCAACTATTTTTAAATTTTTGGAAAAACTAGAAATTTTTTTTTTGATAAAAAACAAAAATTTATATAAAACATCAATACAAGTTTTAACAAAAAAAAAAAACTTTTAAGAAATTTAAAAAAAACTTAAAAAATAATAAATTTAAAAAAAATAAAAAATAAAACAAACAATAAATCTGCTGTTTATGCAATCAAAAACTTGATAATAATAAATATTAGTATCTGAAAATACTCTTTGAAGTATAGATTTACCAATTACACTGAATCATTCAACAAAAACAAACATCAGAATAAAATATATAAATTTTAAAATAACAAATAATTTTCAAAGAAAGTGCAAATTCTAAGAAAGACGCAAAACTTTCAAAAAAGATATGAATTTTAAAAAGTACACAGAACTTTCAAAAAAAGTGTAAATTTTAAAAAAGACACAGAACTTTCAAAGAAATGTGAAATATGGATATAACACAAAACTTTCCAAGAAAGGAGTGATAGTAAGTAACACTATATTATATCAGGGGTATAACACTATATTATACTATCAGGGGTATAACACTATATTACACTATCAGGGGTATGACACTATATTACACTATCAGGGGTATAACGCTATATTAGAATTTAAATTTAAACTTACTATTAAAAATAAATAAACAAAGAAAAGCATATTATACAACAGCAAAGTAGTACTTTTAAAAACAGGTTATACTAATTATTGGCAATGGCATACTTATTAATGGCAAGTGTCCTCTACTTTAAGTTTTAATGGATTATTTTTTACTATTGGCATCTTATGAAAACCATTTTTATCTGCAACAATTAATATCTGCTAAGATTGCCTCTCTTGTGTCAAAAATTAATAAACTAAATCAATATTAAACCAACATGATATGAAAAAACAACGTTTTTTCATATTAGATGCTCACGAAAAAGTATGTTTTTCGTTTTTTGTTTTTTTTAGTTTTGACCATAATTTGTATTAGCTACCTGGGTATCCAAATTGTATTAGAAAATCATTGTATTAGCTACCTGGGTATCCAAGTAAAAGATACAGATTAAAATCTTGTTAAGAATCAAAATTATTATGTTTAAAGGTTATTATACTTATGTATGATATAATAACAAATGAGACAAGAGCAAGTTGATACAAAAAGGTAAAAACACAGCAACAAGACGGGTATTATAAACCCAAAATATTCTTGACAGTTTAAAAATTACACAAGATTTCTAAAATTCTAGGTTTACACACGATATTAATTTTTAGCTAGATAAATTAATTTAATTTTAAATAGATTAAAAAAAGTTTTGTTGATTATTAATTCTAATACTCACAACTCTTTTTTGTAGATACTACTCACAATAGAATGTTTTCTATAAAAAACTTGGTTAAAAATAGGACTAATTAATGCTTTAGATTACATACTTGTATTCGACGAATCAACTTGAATACAAGACTACCATCTGCAACAGCATCAGCTTGACTGATTACATCGGGTGAAAAATCTAAAAATGAATTTTGACATTTATTTACATGTACAAAAAATTTTTAAAAATTATTTTTGTTGTTCTTCTTTAAAAGTGTCAGCGTTTGAGAAAAAAAAATTAAAATATATTATAACAAAACTTAAAACCACAAAAAAAGTGTATATACATTTATATATATATATATATATATATATATATATATATATATATATATATATATATATATATATATATATATATATATATATATATATATATATATATATATAGTGAGAGAGAGATTATATATACATTATAATATATGGAAGCAGAGAGGCTAGATCTAATGCTCTTGACATATCTAAGGCTTTCGACAAAGTTTGGCATATGGGTCTTCTCCATAAACTTGTTTCATTTAATGTAACTGGGAAAGTTTTTGAGATTATCAAATCGTTTCTTTCTATACAGTTAATTAAAGTCATCCACGAAGGCCAACACTCTTCTTTATTTCCAGAAACTTCTGGGGTATCTCAAGGTTCTATCTTTGGTCCTATTTTGTTTCTTATCTACATTAATGATCTTCCCAACAACATTAAATCTAAAGTAGCTTTTTTTGCTGAAGATTCAACTTTATACTTCTGTTTTGACAAAATGTCTTGTATTTTCGATTGTTTAGAACAGGCAGCCAATCTTGGATCTGATCTCACTTCTGTAACAGATTGGGCTCACAGTGGCTTGTAAATTTTAACTCCAACAAAACTCAGTTATTTACTGAAAACAACTGTTTTCAGTAAATAACTGAGTTATTTACTGAAAACAGTTGAAAACATCACAGTACTGTTGACATTGCTATATTGATGAATGGTAACCCTCTCACTGATTCCTCTTCTTTACATCTTTTGGATTATCGATTACTATTAATCTTTTATGGAAACCATATATACAATTGATTGCTAAATTAGCACCTACTAAGGTTGCTTCTCTTTATCATGCTTGCCATTTTCTTACTCTAGATTCCATTCTGTATCTCTACAAATCTCTTATTCCTCCTAGCATGGAATACTGTTGCCATATTTGGGCTGGTTCTTCTAATGATGGTCTTTTTCTTCTAGACAAAGTCCAAAAATGCATTGTAAACACAGTTGGACCTGCTTGATCTGCAAAGCTTGAGCCTCTTTCCTATCATCATAAAGTTGCATCTCTTTCTTTTTTCTGCAAATACTCTATCATGGTCACTGCTCAAAGGAGGTATCATCTAAAGTTCTATCAACTAAAACTTATTCTTCCTTGACTCGTCATTTAGCAAAGTCTTATTCTTTTACTGTATCTGTCCCTGCATGCTCTAAAAAAAATTTCTTGTCTAGTTTTTTTCCCTGCACCTCAACCCTTTGGAACTCTCTCCCATCTTCATGTTTTCCTAACTCATACATACTTTAACTTTTTAAGTTTTCTGTCAACAGTTTCCTTGCTCTTTTTTTTCTAGTAACTCCCAACTTAATAGTGGTTTCTTGCAGCCTTATTGGGAGTGAATCAGAAAATGAAAAAAATAAAAAAAAAAAAAGCAAAAAAATAAAAAAATTATTATTATTATTTGTATTAAATATAAAGTGAACTTTAAAAAACAACCTTAATTAATTCCCTATGAATTTATACTCCATTAAATTTAAATATTTAATCAATAATGATTTAAATCTAGAGATAACACAGACTTCAAACTTTTGTAAGCTAATACAAACTGCTACAAAGCTAGTACAAACTGCTACAAAGCTGATACAAACTGCTGCAAAGCTAGTACAAATTGCTACAAAGCTGATACAAAAGTTTGTTTAATCCAGAAAAAGCTGTTTCACAAAATATGGTACCGAAACACAGCAATCAGAGCTAGGAAACATAAACACAATAAAAATTTACTATTCCATATAGTTTTTACAAAACAATGATATATAAGGCACATACAATACATATAGATAATAGATAACAATGATATACAAAACACATATAATACTCAACAAAAAAATATAAACTGTCAACAAAAAAATACAAACTGCTCAACAAAAAATATAAACTGTCAATAAAATTTAAATATTCAAGAGTATTTTCTAAAATAGTAACAAATAATTTCTAATTCAACAAAAAAATTGATTTTTTGATTTAACTTTGGTTTAATAATTAATTCCAATAAGGAGATAATTATAAGGTTGATGGAGATAATTATGTTGCCACAAATTGTAGGAGAGACAAATTTAGCACTCATTAATTTTTTCTTAAAATGTTCTTTTATCTGAAACTAATCTCTTTTTTTTTTTATTTTATGATTGGCCAATAACTTTCAACAACTCGCTGCTCAAGATAATTTGAAGGATTTGCTTCCATAGGTAAAAATTTGATGTTATTTTGTTCATACCATTCTAGAGACTTTTAAAAGGAGCCAAATCAGGCAAAAATACTGTGGGTATATCATGCTTTTTAAAAATTTTTTGAAAACTTTTTTTTAAACATTTTTTATATACAAATCTGCATTCAAAGTTTTATGAGTCAAGTGTAGTGTACTTTTCAAACCAAAGGAGCAAATTGCTTTTCATATAAGAAACTTGGAAGCATATAAGAAACTTGGAAACATATAAAAAATCCTTTTTGCAATAGGTTTTATCGCCTTTATGCACAAGTTTTCTTGGTTTAAATTATTTCATAACTTTTTTGAACCCGGAATTTCTTTAAATTCTCCGTCAATAGATTGCTTTGGAGTTTTCATTTTATAATATGCTTTATATTATTCAGATCTAAAAAATAAATAAAACTTAAAAATACTTTTCAAATTAAAGCTTGGTTGCATTTAAATTTTTTTTGCAAGATTTCTCTGCAAATGACATAAACTTGTCTTTATGGAGATAATGATGAATTTGCCTTTATGCAGATAATAGATTTTGCTTTATATTCCTCTTTAAATTCATCCTTCTTTCCACTTTCAGCTTCTTATTCAATAGATTAAGTCAGTTTATATCACTGCAAAATAAATCCAACCAAGGATCGAGATACACCAGTCAATTTTGAAACATCAACTTGTGACCATAAAGAATATTGAAGTAAAATTTTCTAAAGTTCTTTTCGATTTAATAATTGTTTACTCATTTTAATCCAATAACAATGATAACCAATACTTATTACCATTACAATCAAACAACAATAGATTAGCTTTCGTGTGTAAAAAGTTAAAAAAAATTGTTGAGTAGTTTTTGAGTAATTAACTTTTAAAGGATGTTGAGCTTCATTCTGAACTCTATAACAGAATTGTTGATTTTTTTTTTCTGATCCAGTGTCATTTTAGAGGCCATTATTTTCATGACAAAAATAAAAATAAAAGAAAATACTGTTCTTCAAAACACAGAGACTTTCTCCACCCCTCATAGTATTAATAAATATTATACACTATGAAATACTATAAAGAGATTGGTAATATATTCATATAAAAATTTTTTAATTTAGTAATAACTAAGAACTTTTGAAGGTATGGCAATGCAAATATAAATACACCATACTTTAGCATTTAATGATTTACAAGAAAAACAATTTTTATGTTTGTTTCAAATCAAATAAGCACCTAGCTTTTCTAACAGAGATGATAGTTGACCAGGGATATGAATACTTGTGAAACCAATTACTTGAGATAACATTTCTAAGCATAAACTTGTTAATTTTTTACCCTAAATAAATAATTTGATTAAAAAATTTGATTCAACAAGTTTATCAAACATTTTTAATCACAAATGTTCGTAATAATTTTAAGGCTAACCTTATCTAACTTTAAAACTTCATCAGCTATAAGAGAATCACCATTTACTTGAATAAGCGCTGATCTATGGTTAAACGAAATGAAAAATTATATTTAAAAAAGATATTTGCAAATATTAGGTATACCAGAAAGTTCTTTCTATCTATGAAAGCAATTTTGAACACATAGGTACATGTTTACTTAGCACAAAAATAATGGGTAATTATTTTATTGCTAAAAGTATTCATACAGATGCAGCAAATTAACTCAAACAAAGTTATTTTACGTTTGTCTTCATTATAAAGTGATAGTGTAAGCATGGCTACTGATAAAGTTCATTTTTGTCACTGTATTTTATACAAATTTCAACAAAGAAGAAATGCTACAGAAACATGTAGAAATTTATTAAAAGTGTTTGGTGAAGGTACAGGCTGGAAAATTTTGTTGCATCCACCATATTCCCAGGGCTAAACGCCCTCGATTTATCAGTTTAATTGTTTGAACCAAACAATAAAACGTTTTTCAAAAATGGAATATACAAATTACCATCTCACTGGCAAGAAGTCATTGATAACGGCAATTATATTATTTAATAAAGTTTATAGATATCAAAAATTTGTATTTTATTTTGTTCTGAAAACAGACAGAACTTTCCGGTAGACCTAATATAATAAATATCAAATAAAAATTGACAAAAAAACAAAAAACAAACAAACAATGATTATATACCATATATAGTTATTTTAGAATTTTAAAACCATATATAGTTATTTTAAATTTAAGCAAAAAATCTAATAAGAATTTGAGAACTGAGAATTTGAAGAACAGAAGTATTTTATAAGACAGTAAAGTTCTAAGGAACCTTACCTTAAATAAGGTAAGTTTAGGGTCATGATCAGGACATTCCAACATATTTTACTACATTTTTTATTGCCATTTTTTTTCTCATGCATAATTCAAACTTTTTAGTTGCTGTTTTGACACTTATTTTCAAATTACAATAAAGTTTTCAGTATTGTGTCATTACATATTTTGTGTAAACTTAAATCTTTAAATGATATATAAAGATAATTAAATATGATATGCAAATACATATACATATGTAAAAACACACACAGTCACATACAACAATACTTAGATTGGCACAATGACATCATATTTAAATAGGGAACTGCAGGGAGCTTTAGCACATACATCAATCAATATAAGGGGTCGTCCATAAATACATCACAGGATTTTTAACCATTTTTGACCACTCATCACAACATCATAATATTTTAGTAACAAGTCCTGTACGAGTTGTCACAAAACCATTAATAAGCAACGACATGAAATGGAGTTGCCTAAACATTAACTGAGGGTTTGGTTTAGGATAGCGATAAATTTATTTATTGTTTTTTATTAAGACTAAAAAATCATTTGGACTTTATGTATAGAAGAATGGTGTGTTCATCAAGATAAATCATTTATATGTATATTTAGCTACCTAGTATCTTCAAAATAACATAACAGTAGATATAGGTTAACTTATGGAAAATATTCCATAAAATTGTGCTAAGCTTTTAGTAAACTGCTTTTTTCAATTTTAAACTAGCTTTCTTCAAAGTAATATCAACTTTTAAACTAGCTTTCTACAAAGTAATATCACTTTTATACAAAGTAATGACCATTAGAGGATGTTACTCAGAAGGAAGCTACTAAGGAGGAAGCTGCTCGTTTCCCCCCCCCTTTTTTTTTTAGCTATTAACTCTATAACTTTAAAACACAATGATTTACAATAAAGGTGTAACCAATAGTTACACCTTGTAATTGAGATTCAATCTTTGGATCTTTTACCAGAAGACTAGTTTTCAGAAAAAGTCTTGTTAAAAAAAGTTATTAGAAACGAAAAAATTGCATCTAAAACAATGGCTTGTCTGATATTTAATGTTATCCATGGTAAAATTTAATTAAAAGTTTATTTAACAGTTTGAACACAATAATACATTCACAAAAAAATAACAACAACGACAACATACTTAGCAACTTTTAAACTGTGTCGAAAGATATGTTGAAGATTTCCTCCCCCAGTGCCATTGCATTGAGCAAAATTAACTACCTTGAGATTTTAAAAAATGTATTTAAAAACAAAAAGTTTTTTTCTCATTAATACAAAGCATAAAGAGTATACAATAAAAATTATTTGGGATAGCTGTATCGCATACCTGACAAAAAATTGATATAAGTTAATAATTTATAATACCTGATGAAGTTTCATAAGAATTGAAGAAGCTAATAACTTGGATATATACATTGATTGTCGCAACAACACTAAACCAGGCTCATTTGTTGGCTTTTTATCGCTGAAAATTACAATAAAATATTCAATACTTCGATTCTCAAAGACTCAAATAGTAACATGCTTGGTTTGAGCATATGCTTATCATCTAATTACCTATGTTGTAAAATCAGGTTTGAATCCTTTGACCTCCTTATTCTTAAGACTGTACTCTTTTCAATGTTCTTTTTGATCAAATTGACCAAGCCCTTTTTTTTCCCCTTCTTTTCTTAATCAAATAGCCAATGTACTATTTAAAAAGTATTTTTTCTCTTATTGGACTCTTGAATTTAATGGCAACACTATTCTTGTCATTCCAGAGAAACAGGTTAAACAATTGTTAGAAAAACTTCTGTTGCTTAAGTTATTTCTCTCTTAAACTTGTTGCCTGCTGTTTGTGGACAACAATTCAAGTGGCCTCACAAAATTGTCCTACAAAACCCTCTTTAATACCCTCTAAACTATTTACTAAGTGCTTAAATAAATCCGTTTTTCCTGCATGGAAAATGGCATTTGTAGGTTAAACTTTTAAAAACACTAGTAAACAATCTGACTCTTTCTATTATACAATCAGCCTACTCTCTATTATATGAAGGTCTATCTATCATCCAATCAGCCTACTCTCTATTATAACAAGGTCTTTCTATCATCCGATCAGTCTACTCTCTATTATATGAAGGTCTTTTAGTCTTTAATTAATAAACTAATATTGAGTCAGAACATTACTTTCTGATAAAACAGAGATCGACATTCACTTTTTAACTGGTCTAACAAAAAGGTCTTATAATAAATTAGATGGTGGTGGTGTGGTAAGGGCAACTACTCTTGAGATATAAAAAGCTTTTGAAAAAGTCTTGCTGGTCTTCTCCTTAATGTGGCTTCATATCATGTATCTGTGAAAGTTTTTGAGATTATTAAACCATTCCTTTCTAACCTCTGCATCAAAATTGAAGCCTAGCACTTTTTTTCATTTTCAGCAACTTCTGGAGTACCACAAAGTTTTCTCATTGGTCCTGTATTGTTTCTCATCTATATTAATGACTTTCTGACAATCTGTGGCTCTTTTTGCTGACAACTCAACAATATAATCTTGTCTTGACAAAAATTTATTGGATTTTGATTGCTTAGAACAAGCAGCTGACCTTGAATCTGATCTGTTCTCTGTAACAGCCTGGGGCCTACAGTGGCTTGTGAATTTTAATTCTAACAAATTGAAGTTATTTACTTCAAACAATTATCGCAATCTTTAATATTCCTATATTAATGAATGACTTCACTCTCGCTATGAATGACATCACTTTCACTGAATCTTCTACTTAACAACTTCTCAGATTATCATTTACTACTGACCATTCATGGAAACCATATATCAAATCCATTAGCATCTGCTGAGGTTGTGTCTGTTTATTGTCATTTCCTTACTTCTGATTCTATTCTCTACCTCTATAAATCTCTTATTGGCCCCTATACGAAATACTTTGAAAAAGTCCAAAAATCTGTATCACATCATATAAAGGTTGTTACAACTTCACCTTAAGGTTGAACCTCTTTTTCTTTTCTACAAATACTATTATGGTCACTGCTCAAATAAGCTAACATTTCTAATTCCAACTAAAGCTGATTACTGCTTGACTTTCACTCAGCCAAGTGGCATCCTTTTACTGTATCTGTCCTTACATGCTCTATAAACCTTTTAAGCATTTCAATAATATGTTTATTATTGCAAAATCTGCTGAAAATTAGGAAATTTGTTAACCACATTAAAGTATAAGAGATTATTAATAAATAAAACAAAGCTCAATAGTTTTATAATATAAATACCATATAATACTGTAAAACAAGTTTGCCAAGCATTTAAACGAAAACAGAGAACAATATGTCTGTTTTATTGATGCAGATCGACTCTTTTTAGCTAAATGCAAAACCAATATTAAAAAAGTATTAACTATAATCAAAAACATCTTATAACATTCCTCATTATAATATATTTTTCATGATTACTAACCAACTGTAACTGCATCCTGAATGAGTTCGGAAAGTTTTTGATGCTGTTCAAATAACTCCTTAATAATGTTACATGTATCAATACTATAATAGAATAAAACTGAGAGTAAAATTATTTTAAACTTTAGTCAAACTACAACAAAATAAATATTTAAACATTACAAAGATCAATGATCATTAAATACTAAATACAATGAATGTATTTAGTATTTAATGGGGGGACCATGATCTAACAATACTACAAATTGCTTACACACACAAAATGGCATCGCACTTATTTTGATTACACATGCTAAAATTATAATTTTATTTGCCTCTTTTTAATTCTATTAATCAAAAATAACTCAACTCATTTTTTAAAAACTGAAACTAAATCTTTCTAAATTCACAGCTTAAAATGTTGAATGTGTAATCATAAAAAAATTATTAGTTTCTTCATATGCATATGGCAAATTAATATGTATATTATAGAAAATTGTTAATAAGTTCGGCAACCTTAAAAACAAATAAAATATTTAGCAAGTTATTAACTAATAATTTTAATAATGTATTTAGTTAATATAACACGGATGAAACCTCAGCAAAATAGTAAATATGTTCTCGAGTTACATTTATAAAGAATTTTTTACATTAGCCAAAAAATGATCAAATATTATTTACCTTATGGTAGCAGCATTGGTAAAATTATACTCAATAAATACCTTAAATGAAAATTAAGCAAATTTGTTACCAATGTTTAAAAATTGTCAGTTTTAAATTTAAAGAAAAAATACTAACAAGTGCATCTATGCTCTCCTTTAAACTAACCAGTCTCTTTTTTATGTATAAAAAAATAGAAAATTAAATACTAAAAAAGGAATTCAAAAAAAAAGAAAAAAAAAAAATACTTCATAGACACCAAGCAACATTTTTGCTTTGATATGATTTTTCAAACCTTCAGAGGAACCGCTTAAGTCTGTACTTTTGTCCTAAATATAATAACAATAATGCAAAAATTTCATGATAAAAAGTTATTAAAAATTTAACAGAAAATTTTCATTTTGCTTTTATTTGTTCATATTTAACTGCAAATGCTTCCACACTTGTATTATTTTTCCAAATTTCTATTTACTTACTTAAATAGTTCATTATAGACAAGTTCAAGCATTTACAAATAGATGTTCTTACTGGTATCAACCTGTTTTAGACAACAGAGCTGAGTACCTTTGCACATGCAATAATTTAACATAATTTATTCTATAACAATAAAAAATAAAAAGTATGTGATGAGATATAAAAAAAAACATCTTTTTTTTTAATATCTCAAGCAAAACAATACCATTTATTTTTAGGTAGCTGTATTATGTTAAAATCTTTCCTTATATGTAATATTAACAATTTTATTCTGTTTAAGGTTTTTCTTAGAAAAAATGTGAACTCAATGATTGAAGTTGAAAAAGTTCTTATTTTATTGCTTATGCTTTGGAGGTTTAGTGACAAGTATTTAAGTAAGTATTTAGCTGTCTTCAAGAAAAATTTCAATTTTTGGCAAATTAAAATTAAAAAAATTGGTTTTATTAAGAAAAATTAAGAATAACAAATTTAATAAGTTCATTGTTTATTCTTTACTTCAAACTTTTGAAACAAAATTTATTTGTAAAGCATAACTATACAAGGTTTATACCTTCTAAAAATTATCCATCAAACGTAAGCCAAAGAATATTTTTTCTATTTACAAAGGTTTCTTTTGCATGTTTCGTAGATATAAATGTAGTTTAAAATATATAATTTGAACCATTTATCAATTTTTTAGTTTTTCTGATCCCCTGCCTGAAGCTTAACAGGATCCCCTGATTTATGACTTTTAAAGAAATGTAAGATAGTTTTGCATTTTTTTTACTTTAAGAAATCATTATTTTCTATCCTCCAAAATGTTAAACAAAAAACTATTTCAATATGTAAATATGTTCAAAAAAAGTCTCTCCGTCATGGAAAAAAATTTATTAAAACAATTTGAAAACTTATTTTGTTTTGTTTTAAAAAATGAGAAGTATTTTTATTTAATAGAATTTTTTTCACAAATAAAATTATTTTGTGAGTTAGACTTCTAAAGTGTTCTTGATTACTTTTAGTTTGGGTTTTATTTGCTGAATCCATTAAGATATGAATCCATTAAGATATTAATCCATTAAGATATATGAAAAGTTTTGTTCAAGGAAAGGAGCATAAACATTCTATGGCTGTTTTCATGTTTTAGAAAAATTCTCACTCTCTCGTTTATTTATCCCCCCTCTACTTATTTACTTTATTTTGAAAATATTCGTAACTGTCCCCCTGTTTATAAGAACACCCCTAATTCCCCCCTCTTACTCACCCCACAGTTTATGTGTCAGTAGAGAGTACAGTCATACTCACCATGTCAAAATCTTCTAAACTTGATTTGATAAGTCTTTTTGTAAGTGAAGCCAAACACTCCTCAACATCGTCTAATAGATGGGAAAGAGACTCTAAATAAAAAATTTCATATTTAAGAAAGATAAAATTTTATATTTCCTAATATAGTATCAAACTGATGCCACAAAAATAATAGCCTTAAACTGACAAAAAAAACTTTTGAATATCTTTAATTTATTACAGAATAAATTATAATAGTAATATAATAATGAAAAAGTAATAGTAATATAATAATGAAACAATTATACTAAATAGTTAAAAAAATCTAACTTTTTGCCAAACAAAAACAACAATATATGTTTGCATGAATGCATACGTGCATAATACAATTACTGAAAATCAGAACTTAGGGTAGGGTGGAGCAAGATGCTCACCTGGGAAAAGAAGCTCTGTAGATTTTTTATGAGTTAAATAAAACAATATTTTTTTTATAATACTGCTAAAATGGATCTGTACAATTAGAAATTTTTTAGATATTAACATTAATTGTGGTTTTAATTAACTTACATGAAAATAAAAACCTTTATTATTCTTAAAAAAAGTTACTAAAAGTTACAAAAATAAACTATATTATCAACATTAGTGTGAAATACTTGCTTTGTTCCATGAATATATAATTTGTTCCACAAATATAAAGAAGAAAAAAATTAACAGTTAACCAAATTACTCAAATTAGTTTTATTTCTTATTAGTTTGTGTAGGTGGAGCTAAAACTTGTTTCTATGTCAAGGTCCATGTTTCGAGCTACAGAGTTAATAGAGGTTTAGGAGAGACCATTTAACCCCACCCTTCCCAGAGTCTTACTTTATGTTGCATAATAATAATTCATGAATAATGTTTTAAGTAAAAAACTAAATAAATTGCAAAACAAATATACACCATCTTCATCTTCATCGCGATCTAATCTTTTTGCAGATTTACTAGCACACATTTGTAGCGCGTGCAGCAAATAGGGCTAAACAAAAAATGACCATTAAAGTGCATAATAATTCAGTAAAAAATATAATAAAATGAAAATATTAAACAAAAATAAATTTATAAAATAAAAAATAATTTTACTAAAGGTTCTAAAATAACAGCCTTTTCATCTTCTTCCCCAATGCACAAATTTAAATCTAATGGAGGCAGGATAATCGGATCTCTAATAAAATACTTCAAAAACTAAAACAAATCAAAGTAACAATTAATATAAATAAATAAAATAAATGTTATATACTATAAATGAATAAAATAAATGTTATATACTATAAATAAATAAAATAAATGTTATATACTATAAATGAATAAAATAAATGTTATATACTATAAATAAATAAAATAAATGTTATATACTATAAATAAATAATATAAATGTTATATACTATAAATAGATTAACTTAATAACAGTAATAAAAAAATTATAAATTTAAAACATTGTATATTGACATTATAATAATATTAATGACATTAATAATTATTAATGAGAATGTTTTCATAAATTTAGACTTTGAATTCTTATTAATATAATCAACAAATAATAATTATAAATAATATCATAACTAAACATTTTCAGTTTTTCTAAAATTATTTGTGAAAATTCTTCTGATAATAAAAGTAATATGTAAAAAAATAAAGTAAAAAAAGTAAAAGTAATAATATAATTATAACTTAGAATTAAAAAAAAGGTAAATGCTAACAACATTCTGTTTAAAAAAATTTTATTTTATTTTAATCAATTTAAAATTTCAAATAACGTAAGATTCTTTATGATTTGTGCTGACATCATCGCTTATAATTAATACTTAATTTAATGCTGCTGCTGCACATTTGTGCACGTTTACACTGACTTTTTTTACCATTTATTATAAATAGGCTTTAGCATGCTTGTTCTCTTAATACTTTTGAACACACGTGATGAGGTACTCTCAAATCTTAACAATCTGTCAATATCTGCTTAATCAGTAATAAGATCGAAAACTTTGCTTCATCAGCTTAATTAGTGATAAGATCGACATTTTTATTTGATAACTTCTGTAGTAAAAGATGAACCTTATGTTATATTTAAATTAGTAAAGTAACTTTTAAAGTCAGGTAATTTATTTAATTCATGCATTATAATAATAAAACAATTCAAGTCCTTTGTCAATTGTATTTAAAGTTAAAATTTTTGTATTTAAAGTATATTTATCTGTAATTTTTAAATTAAAAGACGATGATGACTCTAGATGATGTTGCTCTTTACAAAAGTCCAGAGGTCAAACTCTTGATAAAGTTTATCTCCAAACCCAATTTATCTCTAAAACCTTTGCACTTCACACCGTCAACTCTATGTTACATGTAAACAAGAACAAGATTGTTTAAAGAAGTTAAAAAAAAATCCATTTGCTTTTATATAAAAAACCAGATCGTTTGATCGCTTGTTTTTGCAAGTTGTTAAACATTTATTACTTGGTATGTCATTAAAAAAATCACAAAAAAAAAGGTATGTATTTGTATTTGTAAAGTTTCTAATTTATATATTTTTCTTAATTTTTATATTTATCTATATTTGTGTGTTATATATTATGTGTTTATGTGTGTTTAGGTTATATGGTTTTATATTTTGTAAGTGCGTAAATTTCTTTTACATGTGAGTGTTTCTATGTTTGTGATATAATGGTATTTGCTTATAGTTTGTAAGTGGTTATTATGTTGCTTTCATGGTTTCAAATTGTTGTGACTTGGCTTAGTTTACAGCAAGAGTGTTGACCTTGCTAGTCAAATGGTGTACTTTGCTATAATGTGACTTGGCTTTGTTTGGACCAAGATTGTTGTCCATGCCAGTTAAGTGGTGTACTGTCTTGATGAAACACATAAATTAAATCTGTTGTAGTTAGTGTAGTCATAAAAAGTGTTGAAAGAATGTGTTTATAAGAAATGTTGAAAAGATATATAGTTTTTTAATATTTATATTTTTTTAAATATTTATAATTTTTAAGTAAATTTTATTGAATAGATTTATACTTCATTAAAGATTTTTTATATTGTTACTTTTTGAGTAAATTTGTTTAAAAGATATATACTCTGTTCTTTTTTGTTAACAAATCATGCTTTTTATGATAAATTTTGTTAAAAAACTGGCTTTGTTTTTACAAATAGCTCCTCCTCATTTAAACTTTTAAGAGTCTTTATTTCTTTCATTAAATATGTTTAACTTAAATTTATTGTTTGTTTTTTATACAGGTATGTGTAAAAAGTGTTACATTATTTTTTGTAACTTTTGATTTTTAGGATTTTCATATATAGAGAATGTTTTCTCCATAATAATATTTTAATGTTCCATATATTGACCTTTTTTCTTTAGAATATTAAATAAATAAAAAGTTAAAACAGTTCAAGTTCAATAATTATTAAGAAGTTTCAATATTTTCAAGTTTCTTCACTTGAAGCAAATTTATGATTGTTTATAAAGGTTTTCTATTAATAGTTTTGTATTTACTTATTTATTGTAAATGTTGCATTAAATGCGCTTCAAAGTAATGAAAAGGATTTTTTGACAAAGGATTATATTTCACCATTTAAAGCTAACAGTATTTGCTGAGCAGACAGCCCTTATAATTTTTTCAATTTGTTTTATTTATGAGTTCTTATCTGTAAAAATTTTTATTAATTATAATTTTTTTTTGGATCAAATACTAATAATATTTTGTCAATAATTATTAATAGCAACATTAAATATATAACATTACTCAGTTTTGAAGATTATATCAATTTATTTATAACTTTAGTTTACGCTCTTGATAGAAACATGTTATATTTACACATTGCTATTGTATTTTAAAACATTTAATTTAAATAAGACTAATAGTATAGGTAAAATAAAATTACATTATTTCATACTCTGTTTTATCTGCTAACACTTTATTTAAGATAAGTTAAGGAAGAAACCTAAAAGTTCCATCTTGAAATAAAAGCGCAACTTTTAATATATTTATCATTTTCACACACTTGTTTGATGCTTAGTTATGCCTGATAATTTAAGAAGTAAAATTATAAGGTTTCGTTGAAATTAAAGAAACCAGGCTAGGCAAAATAAATTTAACTGTTGCCAAAATGAAAGAGATAAGCTTAGGCTAGCTGAGGTAAATTGTAGTTGAAATGAAAGATGAGTCTAGGTGAGCTGAAATAAACTGCCGTAGAAATAAAATATATCAGAATAGGCATTATAACTCCTTTTTATCTTTTGCTTCCTTCACAGTCAAAGTACCTCATCCCTAAAATAATTGCTCTTTCTGTTTTAGGGTTTATGAGCAAATTTTGCATCATGTTGGAAATTTAAGGTCTGAAGAAGGTTTTCTAACCACGTATTGTCAGTTAAATTTATATGATCCTTATGTAGCAGTGTCATTTAGAATGGAGCAGCCTGGTAATGATGGTGGTATAAATGAGTTAATGCAATTCTTACAAACTTTAAATAATCAAGAAAACTCATTTGCTTCTGCATTTAAAAACATGACAGAAGTAGAGAAGAAAAAAGATAATGGCACAATTAAATGGAGCCTCATGTTACTTTGTCCCAGTATTATAGTTATAGCTTTGCTGTTAGACAAACCTTTAGTCCTAAATACAAACTAATTAGTCCTATATAATTAATGTTTAATTTAATGCTGCTTACTCATTCGTGCATGTTTGACTCTGAGTTTTTAAAGAAGATTTGTTACGCTTGACCATATAATATATCACTTTATATTTTTGACCACATGATAAGGTATTCTCAAATCTTTATTTTCTCTATTATAATCTATAGTATCTGTTGAATCAGTTATAAGATTTTAAATTTTATATTAGATAATTTGATGCAATCATAAATTCTGTGTCATAAATGTGTAAATACCTGTAATATATATAAAGTGCTTCAATGTGTGTTATGTGAAGGGGGTAATGTTGTTTCCATGTCTTTAAAGTGTTGTGACTTTAAAGACATAGAAACAACAAGAGTGTAGTATTATTATTGTATTTTTTTAATATATAGCTCTAGTTGCTTCTTCTGGGTCAACAAGTGTTGTAATCATACTTGACTTAGTACATTAATTGATTGTTTTTATTGTAGAATACTATTTCATAATACTGTTTTAAAACGCCCTAGGTAAAAGAATCAAATAAGCTAATTTAGATGCCTACAAACGTTATTGAATTAGTTATTTAGTTTCAAAAACTGTTTTACGAAGAGCTTCCTCTAACAATTACTTTTTAATTGCGTTTTTCCTGAAATATGTCATCTTAACTTTGTACAAATATTACTTTTAACTTAATCAATCAATGTAATAAGTCAAGTTTAAGTGATTACAATAATTTTATTGTTTTACTTATATTTAATATTTATATATTTAATAGTTATATTATCAAACATTTGCTAAAGTTGCTATTAATCTCAAAAAGCCTTTGTTTTCATGCAACCAATTCTATGTAGCATGTTCTAAAACTGAGTCATTTGCATTACACATGCATAACACCTGCATATACATATGCATAAACAAGGTATGTCATTGAATGAAAATTTCACAAATGTTATATTTGTAAATGTTCTTAATTTATAGTTTTTGAGAAGTATTTTAATGTGTCATATGTGTTAATGTGTGTTTTTATTATGTGTCATATGGGTTTATATTTTACCAGTGTTTCTATGTGTGTGTTGTTAGTAGTTAAAATATGAACAATAAAATCTGGATAACTCAATAACCCAATAACCCTTAACTTAAACTAATTTTAAAATTTCATTTGAACCTTTATTTATGGATTATACTGCCAATAACTCTAGCATTCTCTAACAATCTAATTTCTTGTTCCTCTTTAAGGTTTGAGTAATTTAGAGTTTACTGTAATATGTTACGTTATTTGTTAATTTTGTGATGTTATTGTTTTGTGTTGGTAAATTTGATGACTTGGTTTACTTTCACGTCAGGGTCTTTAATTTAAAATGATTATTGGGTAGTTTCATTACTGAAACTGACTACATATAATCATTCACTAAAAGCTAAAGATTCAGTTTTCAAATAAAAAAAAAAAGTATATCTTATTGTGATCATTTATTTTTAGCCTTATTTAAAAAGAGTTGTTAATCCAAACTTGCAACAATAAATCTTGAAACTTTCACAAAAGATAAACAACCTCACAAAGTAAGTTTTTCATTTGTTTTTTGTTTAGTCACATTTTTGAGTTTTCAAATAAATAAAGTACATAACAAATTAATGTGTATTAAGTGTATTCAATAATAATTTTGTTCCCTTTTTCGAATTTCTTCTCGTATGACTGATTTTGAAAGTTTCTACATAGCAGAATTTGAGAAATTTTGTGAATGTTGATTGTATTCAAAAAGCTAAAACGAAGCTTGATAATCTTTATACCATTTACTAAAAAATATATAATATAGAAAGAATATTTTAAATTGAATTATTTTTATAAGTATTTTTTTGTAGTTTTTTTTTTAATTTCTTTTTTTATTTTATCTCAAGAAATTTTTTTTGTTTGTTTCTCAAATAAATTTCTATATTTTTTATCTTTGGAATTATTATTTTGAATGGATATATTGGCTATGTTTGCTTTGTTTTTTATATTTTCGTTAGATAAAGCTAACTTATTTGAAATAACTAGGACTCTTGGGCCCATTTTTCAATGTCCAAATTTCCTTTTAAAAGAAATCCTTATGATAGAGTTAAAATATCATAGCCTAAGTTTCCAAAAATACCTGAAGAAATGTTACACAACTGTCTTATATGCTAAAGATTTACCACGACCCGTATCGTACGGGTTATTACAGTTAGTATTATATGATTATGTTAAGTTTGTGTTAATGTCAGTTATATATTAATGACTTTAAAAACATTCTGAATGTTTAGAAATTAATTCTTAACATTAGAAATTCAATATTCTTAGTTACTTGCGAAAACAAAAGATCAAGAATTGAATTGCTCAACTGTGGATTTCTGCAGCTAACTTCATAAATCCCCTAAAATATAAAAACAAGATTTATTATGAGATGGTTTTCCTTTGAAAAAAAATAATTGCTTTAAAAAAATTAGTAATAAAATTATTTTATAATAAAAATCATTAAAAAAAAAAGTCACCTCATAAAGCTGCTGACGAACATAACTGTCCTGACTCAGGCACTTCTTAAGACTACCTGCATATTAAATTATTATAGCATTATATAATATAGCAATCTGAAATTATTTGATCAAATTTCATCCAATAATTTCTTTTTTTTCGAATATTATGACCATATAAAGTTTTAACCCTCCTCATAAAAACTAAAAACTAAGAGGTTATTGCATGAAATTTGAAATTCGTTGATGAATATAAACTTAGATAAAAACACTAAAGAAATTTTTTTATCAACTTGTTGCTCCCACGTTAAGGGCTGGGTGGGCCCGAAAATTGGGGTTTTTTGTCCCCAATCTCCAATCACCACAACTTTTTGCAAAACATGCTCATATGACATAAGTATATCAAACTGTGGAATTAGGAAAAATGAGATAAAAAAGACAAATAAAGAAAGGGGAAGGGGGTCATTAGAAAAGGACATCACGTTATAGAATTTTGTTTTTTTAGCTTTAATAACATGGAAAACTATGTAAACATGTGTTTTTATGAAGTCAACGTTAGGGAACATAATGCTTTTATTTATAGTAATTTATCAAAGTATCAGAAATGTAATGTTTTTATTTATCGAAAAAAATTTGTGTTGATATTTGTTTAAATTTTTTTTTTTGTATATGTGTACGTGATGGAATTGGTAGCCTTACTATTGAAGTAGAATAATCTGAGCTATTGCGCATCATCATTCAACTTGCTGAACATGAATCTGCTGCCTGCGATAAGAGACAGTTTGAAGTGTATAGGGTGAGAGTACAACTTTAGCTAATAAAAGTACAACTTTTGCTAATAAAGAGTACAACTTAACTAATAAAAAGTTCTATTGGGCTATATTAGGTGTAAGTGTAATAATTTTTAGCCTCTAAATTCATTCACTTATAATTTTTCAATTATTTTTTAAGCAGCTTCGAATTATTGGATGAGCTTGGTGCCGAGCTGAAAAAGAGAGACTACCATCTTAGCAGAAGTAATTTATTTAGTTGGTTGATTCCAAAAGCAAGTTGTTTGACGGAAAGAAACATGACCACACAGTTCCAGTCAAGTCAAGTTGATGCGAGTTCAGAATGATCTTTATTCAAGTCACATAGATGATCTATTTTCTACAGAAACTATAAGGAATGTGGAAGAAGTTTGCTCTTTTTTAGGCCCCAAGATTGTGTGCTTTATAGATCAAGATAATAAATTGGATCTCAATTGGAATCACCACCGCTAACAAACAAGATTCTATATTAATGCATATGGAACATCAAGTTTCTCTTCCAGATCATGATTGGGTCATCGCCGCAAAGCACAAGTTCATCATATCTCTCTAAGCAGACAATGAAATCAAACCAGATGGACTTGAAAAATCTGTCACAGTTTCTTAATTAATCCCCACTTAAGTTGCTGTTCAATCTAGATTAGAACAACCTTTGACTTTTCTTTTTTAGTGTTAATTTAGCAGGATAGATTCTCCCTTGTGTTCAATATGGAATTCATCTAGACGCTCAAGGAATTCAAATTCATTTTTAATATCAACTCTTTATCAAAATACAATATATATTAAAATATAGCCAGACTTTATTATCTGCATTGTAACTTATATTTAAAGTAGGACAGTGGATCTTTTTTAGGAGAAACAGAATTTTGATTTTGTTGGAAAGATCTGTGCCTCAACTTTTTCAGGTCTGATGATAGATCAATTTTCAACGGTGGTTGAGTATACCAATCAAGACAGAACTTGATGCTCATAACCTTTTATCGAAGGATCAGTAATGGTTTGCCTCTCATGTGTGCACCAGCTAATATTTCATGCAAATTGTGGAATGTGATGATCCCGGATGTTGTTCTTTGAAAAGGAGCTTCTATTTCCACGTTATTTCTGGTCATTTTTTGCCTCCACCTATTCCAATCTGCCAGTTAGAAGATTGAAAAGTTGTAGCCGCTTTAGATGTCACCAGCAAAAATTGTTTTATTTTTGAATTTTTTTTATTACCTCCAATATTTAGAGCACCATTCCTTGATCAATAAAATCATTCAAACTTCCTCCTTAAAATCTGTTTTGTTCCTCCTGTGCAATCAAATTTGTCTAAGAGAATCTATAATCATTGTAACTTGTACTCTGCCTACCAAGCCATGTTAAAAAAGCATATCAGCACTACTAATTTCAATTTTGTTAATTAAATGGCTATTAAGCTTTTGCCAGTTAGACCTGTTTGCAGTGTTTTAAAGAAAGACGTGCAATCACACATCATTATATGACCAGGCAAATCACATTTTGCTTTGAAGATTTGACCGCAGCTATTTCAAAAAACATTTTAAAAACGTGCTGAATGAAAAATATTCTGAATTATACCTTGTGAAATGAATTTTAACAAAACTTCTTAAGAAACATTTTTATATTAGTGAAACGCTTTTAAATAAAGTAACAATTTACTGATAATGATTGACATTGACAGTTGTATGTTTTTGAGTATTTAATTGTTTAAGTATGCATTTTAATTGTTTAAGTATGCATTTTGTTTTTATAAATAATGAAATTCTACAAAAAGGAAAGTCTTTTTAACGAATTTTAATATAAGATTAATTAAAGTTAATACATTTAAAAAGATAAACACAATTTCATTGAAAAAAAAAAGTTTTACAAAGCCATTACAATTAAATAAGATCTTTAATGCTTTTATATTATCAAACACTTTTTAATAAAGAACACTTCTAATAAATTTTTATAAGTATTAATAAACTGTTGTTTTTTTTACTTATATAATTATGTATTTTTTATTATCTTTTGAAAAAAAAAAAAAAAAATTATTATAAAATTATATTTTTTATATTAATTTTTGTTATTTTTATTTACTTATTTTATATTTTCCACTACTGAAGAAAACAAGACAATCTGGATGAAAAATCTTGTATGATTTTATGAGTCACATAGTAAAAGAAACTGTTCCATTAGAAGAACAATCACTGGATGATAACAGCAGGTTACTACTCAAAATTGTTGGTTGCTATTTGTTCCTGGTTCCAATTCAAGTTTTATAGACAAAACAAGATCAAGTGCTGAAGATGTACAATAATGTGGAGTCCTCAGAATTAGGAAAACTAAGGTCTTCAGTAATTTGCTGACCTTAACCTGTGTAAGGTCAGCATCATGTCAGCAAAAAAAATGTAAAAGAAAGGTTTGACCATAAAATATAGAAACGAGTATAGTGATTTTTTGCTGACTTCAAACACTTCAAAGTTAGCAGTTAGGTCGGCATTGCCGAATGCCGACAATAATTTTGAAGGTTGAATGGGTGTAAAAAAAGGTGTAAAACAAAGAGAACACCATCTATTGAATGAAGTTTTTGACATCACAAAAAAAGAAAAATAGCTCTCAGACAAAAGACTGTATCATCTCTAGATTGAAACCAAAAAATAGGTAGGGTATAAAAATGGTAGGGTGCTAGTTTAAAAACTATCCACCTATCCAAATAAAGGAATAGGTCCCAGTAGCCTACTTTAACAACAGTAACTGCAACAGCAACAACATCGACTTCTTAATATCTAAGGCAGAATATAAGGTGTATTCAGATCAACTATTAAAGCTCTTAAAAAGAAGAAATGCGTTTAGAAAAAGAAATTTCTGTTAAGAAAAGAAAGCACTACATTTAGAAAGCTGGTCACTGCACTTTGATGGTAAATGTATTAGATACCAATAAATCAAGTGTTAACGTTGAAGAATAAACAAAAAGAAGTCACAAGCACTAGAACTACCAGATGGAAAAGCAGATACTGTTGTTAATAATATTATAAAAAAAAATTATTGCACAAAATTTCAAAAAAAAAAAATTATTTTCCCTGAGTTTTCCCTAAATTTTATAAACTTTTTAAAAAATCACTGAGTTTTCCAGGTTTTCCCTGGGATTCATGCTATTTCCAGGTATTCCAGGTCAAGAACCTGAAGAAAACAACATGGTGCCCAATATGGAAAATCCATTTATCCCAGAACTTGTGAAGAACTAAGAGGAGCTCAGGAATAATTTCAAGAATGGTAACGAAGAGAATACTGTAACAGCAGGATGGCGTGATGATATGAAATTTCTAATTCATTTAACTCAGGTATTCTGCTTTTTTAAAGAAGCAGGAGTATTTCCTGTAAAATTTCAGAAAAAACCTAAACTAAATAATGCAAGATGGAATTCCTGAGCATTACAAGTATCTTTTGACATTTGTAAAAAGAATGAGAACTTCCAGCTTAGATTTATTTTGTCTAAAAAAAGCATAAGAATTGTATACTACGTTTTATACTGTATATACACACACATACATGTGTGTGTATACAGTTACAGAAATAAGTATCTGAACAAAACATTTTATTATAGAAAATAAACTTTGTCAGGTTATTTCAGAAAAAAATAACTTTATAAAAATAAAAAAAAGTAATTATTCTAAAAAAAAATTTAATTACAAAAAATATGAAAAAAAAAAAAAAAAAAATATCAATAATATTTAATTGATAAAAATTAAGATACATTTAAACTATGCAATTTTTTAGCATTAAATAAGTATCTGAACAAAATTTTAAAGATTAAGGCTTAAAGACTAACGCTTATTCAAGTAATTATTTTTATGACTTTTTAATATTAAGTGGACTGCCTTTAGCTTTTATGACTTCTGCAAATCGACATGGCATCAACTCAACTAATTTCTGTCGTATCTGAATAGATATCAGCCCAAGCTTCTTGGAGCATGATCTTAAGCTCTTCTTTTCTTTTTAAACATCGTGTACCACATTTTTTATCCAGAATAGCCCAGAGATGTTCAAACTGATTGAGATCTGGACTTTGCCCTGGCCATTCAAGTAACTCAATTTGCTTTTGGATAAAAAACTCTTTTGCTTTCTTTGACATATGTTTAGGGTCATTGTCTTGCTGGAAGATAAAATGTTTTCCTAATCACAGTTTTTCAGTTGAAGCCAGAAGATTTTTATCGAGAATGTTAACATAAACCTCAGAGTCCATAATTCCATCAATAAACTCCAGTTTTCCTGTTCCGTTCCAAGCCATCGATCTCCATACCATAACATTGCCTCCACTAAATTCTACTGTACCTCGAATACAGCTGAGTCTGAATGCTTCACCTTTTCTTTCCATACTTTTTGAGCTCTACCGGACTTTACAAGATTAAATTTTGACTTGTCTGTCAACAAAACTTTCCTCCAGAATGATACCAACATATTTACATATTTTTTGCCAATGCAAGTCTTCATTTTTGATAGATTTTTGAAAGGAATGGTTTCTGGCGTGGAACTCTTGCTTTAAATCCACTTTCTTTTAATTGATTTCAAATAGTACATGAGTCACTTGTAAACCAAAATCTTTCTCAAGGATGCTTGACACTTTTGGTTCTGATAAAAAGCGTTTTTTTTGCACCATCTTGACAATTTGCTGATCTATTCTTAATGTTGTTTTACGCTTAGCTGATTTTGCACATATCCAAACATATTATACTTTTAAATCTGATTGCTGATGGTTCCTAAAGCCATTCCAATTGCTTTATTTATTGACCTAAATGTTTTACCTTGCTTAAACAAGTCAATAACTAAATTGCGCTGAGCTTGGGACCATTCCTTAATTTTAACTCCCATACTTAATGATATCAACGGTAAATTAAATGAATTAAAAAAAATATAAGTCAATTATAAAAAATTAATGTTGTAAATCAACAGTATTTCTAAAACTATTGATTTAAAAATTTTTTTTAATAATCAATTTCAAAACATCGTTTACAAAACAAAATGTTCGGATAATTATTTTTTGTTGAAGTTTTAACACTCCTACAGGAATCATTAAATTTAGCAACTCAAGTTAATTACCCTTGGTTAATTTTTTGTTATAAAAAATCCTAATTAAATTTGCTTTAAGTATAATTATAAAAGTATTTATCAAAAACATGTTTTTCTGAAATAGCCTGAGAAAGTTTATTTTTTACCATAAAATGTTTCGTTCGAATACTTATTTCTCTGATTATATATATATATATATATATATATATATATATATATATATATATATATATATATATATATATATATATATATATATATATATATATATATATATATATATATATATATATATATATATATATATATATATATATATATATATATATATATATATAGTATGTCAAAAAAGTCTATCACTCCCTCATGATTTTTCAATGAAAACAATTTTTTTTAATTAAATTTAGACTTTTGACCCAAATTTTTTTTTAATATTGAATTTATATCAAAAAACATTTTTATAAAAAGAAATCTATATTCTATACCTTTTATACCTAATTTTATACCTTATTTTATACCTAATACAAAAATTATTCACTAAATTACCAAATAATTAAGTCAAAAAAAATCAACCCTTAGATAATTATTTTGCTAATAAAAAATTAAAAGCCTATTTGTGCGCCTTATGCTTTAATAATTGCAAGACATCTTTTAGACATTGAATCCACTAAGTTTTTGAGCAATTGTGGATCATTTTTTTCTCACTCTTTAATAAGAATTGTCTTTATTTACAACAAACTGGATGGTTTTAGCTACTTTAATTTTTAGCCATTGATTTTTCAACTTTTTTTTTCTTTAACTTTTATCCATTGACCAATAGTCCAATTTGAATGTTTCTTAGCCCAAGCCTATCTTTTCTTTTGATTCTTTTAACTCAAAAAAAGGCTTTTTTGTAGCAGCTCTACCTACAAAATCTTTGTCTTTTAAGCGATTGCAAACAGTTTAAGGATTTATAGTTATACCTAGGGTTTGCAATCCCGGAGATCTTTCTCAATCCCGGGATTCCGGGATTGAGAAACATAAACCCCAAGATTGAAAAACAGATATAGCTAAATAGTATTAAGTAGAATAAAAACAGTACACTCTTAAACAAAAATATATTTTATAAAGGATGCTGTTTGCATTACATCGTTACATGCATAGAAGAAAAACTGTTAATTAATTTTAAGAAAAAAAAATGTGACTTCAGAAAGCACAACTCGTCCAATGTTTCATCGCCCAACCTGTTACGAATTTTACTATTAAACAGTCCAGCGGAAGAAAATGCCTGCTCAACCTCGACACTTGTCGGTTTCACTGTCATTAGAAATGAACAAACTCTTTCTAAATAATCACCACGTGTACCAATATTTTCAAATAATGCCATTTCTTTTTGAAATTTCAGCGACAAAGTGCTTTAACCGTTGCTTTAATAGGAACTAAAGTTGTAATAATGTCTGATAATATTGTCAAATCATCATGCGACAGAGCTATAGAAATATCTTGCAGTGTGTAAATATCAATTATTAATTTTTGTATACAATTTTTTACTTTATAAAATTGTTTAAGCATTAACAGAAGGCTGCTCCGCCTTGTTTTGCAATCCATAATTAAAGACAGTTGTTTTTCAAATTCAGCCTTAATATACTTTTGTAAGATGTCGTTCTTGGTAGGTGATTGTCTAAATATTATTATCAATTTGCGTATTTTTTTAATGACTTGTCCATAATGAACTTTATTTAGTTCAATTTTAGATCTTAAAGTTTCATGATTGTAGCCTAGTAAATCTTCCTCAATATCCTCATTCTCGGATGAATCACTATCAAAAAATTCATTTTCAAATTCTGGCTGATTTGAATTACAGCATTTGAAATTACAGCATATTGTATGCCGTGGGCAAAACATAATTGTTGATTTGCAGCCAGCAACCTTCCAACATTTTTCATAACACTAGCTCTGTCAGTCAATATACCCACAATTTCGCCATGTAGATCAAGACAATGGTCTTTAAGTTTTTTTTCTAATAGTTCAATGCACTTTTCTGCTGGCATTGACCCTGTTATTTGCATTAAACCCAAACTCCAAAAATGAGATTTTTTTCCATGAATGTTAATATTTATATAGCAACAATTTTGAAGTGACATCCATTCTTCAAAAGACAAAGAAAATTTCTCTCGTACCCCAAATTCTGTAATCTTGAGTGCTTTAATTTTCTGAACTAAATGTAATCTTACTTTTTTGCTGTACTCTACTACATGATTACGAATTATGTTTACTGACATTTATAGATTTCTAAATCCCATAGCAGTTAGAGCGGCACATAAATCTATTGAAGAATAAATCACATTAAATGAAAGTCTGTCAGACGCCGTTAGATAAGCAAGTGTAGCATGAAGTGTTTTTACTTCATTCTCAAAAATCGAAAAGTATTTTGTTAGTAGTTTAGATTTATTTTTTGGTGGTTTATCTGATGTGCTTTCTACGGTAATATTTAGGTATATATGAAGTTCTTTTGTTGAACTACCAAAGATTTTTAAAATCTTCTTGCAGTTTGAAAATTTACACATCGCTGTTTGCTCTTTCTCTTCTCGTAGAAAATATTTCCAAACAGTTGAGTTTTTTTTTATTGTAAAATCCACATACCCCATGCTTATTTAAGTTTTAATTTTAAGAGTAAACCTTGTAATTGTAATTAGTAAACTAGAATTACTTTCAGCAATATTATACTAAATAAAAATTATTATATTGATGCGCATAAATTGTTGTTATATTTATACATTTTTTGATTTCTCCTTTGTTTTGCTCAATCGTATAGGGAAACCTGGGATTGATGTTAGACAATCCTGGGATTTCGGGATTATAAAAAAGGCCGGGATCCCGGGATTGCAAACCCTAGTTATATCATGATCTGTTTGTAAACTTTTTAGTAACTTTGGTGCAGATAATCCTTGATCTTGTTCAACTTTGGTGCAGATAATCCTTGATCTTGTTCAACTTTTCAAATAATTTCTCTATCAATGCGTAAGGTAGTCTTAGCTGGGTGTCCTTTTCTTGGCAAATTTTTAATATTAAACTATTTTTTTTATATTTTCTAATGATATTTCCTACACTATTAGGCTTAACATTTAATATTTTAGAAATCGTTTTATATCTTTTCTACTTTTATAGTGTCCCAGGATCAATTTTTCACTGATTCATGGATTTTATATCTTTTCACCATGATTTTTTTATTATTAACCTAAAAAGAAAACAAACTTTGCTAAAAAATAGTTAAAATAACTTGTATTAACCAAATTTGTTTGTTTTTGGCTTTTTTTCTGCATTTTTACTAAGTTATACAACATAAAAGTTAAAAAGTGATTAGGGGATGATTTTTTGACGTACTTTTTCTAATTTAGTGGATAATTTTTGTTTTAAGTATAAGAATATTAATTTCTTGTTATAAAAATGTTTTTTGATTTAAATTCAATTAAAAAAAAAAAAAAAAAAATTGGGGTCAAAAAACTAAATTTAAGCATATAAAAATTAGTTTTTATTGAAAACTCATCAGAGGGTGATGACTTTTCAATACAAACTATGACTTTTTTGACATACTGTATATATATATATATATATATATATATATATATATATATATATATATATATATATATATATATATATATATATATATATATATATATATATATATATATATGTATATATGTATACATATATATATATACATATATATATATACATATATATATATATATATATATATATATATATATATATATATATATATATATATATATATATATATATATATATATACATATACATATATATATATATATATATATATATATATATATATATATATATATATATATATATATATATATATATATAAACACACATATGTATATATATATACACACAAATGTGTGCATATATACAGGCATATATAAATATATTCATATATTAATTTTTTTATTCAAATCTTTTATATTAAAATATCTACATTCTAAAAACAAAAAACACACCCAGTATTTCAAGACAGAAAGCTTCATTGGCTGCAACATTGTATCGCCCTTGAGTTGACACTATTACTTGGCTGCAGGAGTATGATTGAGAGAAAGCAATTTGACTAGGAAGTGAAAAGCCACCTCCTTCCAAATCTATCTGTAATTAAAAGATTTAAGCAAATACTTTTTTTATTTCATTAAAATAAAAAAAAGTTACAATAAATAATAAAGTGTGTAAAAAAAAAAATTAATGTTATAGAAAAAATTATTCACAATTATTTGAAAAATTTTAATAGAAGTTAGAGTTCAATAGCATAACTAATAGTTATAAATAACATAGTTATAAATAACATATAATAACATAGTTATGTTATTCATTGTTAAAAAAAATCAACACAAATCCATTCAAAACAAAACTTGATTACTATTCTTTCAAAATAACAAAAAGTTCCTAATTATTCTAAAACTCAAAAAAAAATAAAAAATTGCAAGAATCCACTGCAGAAAGTTAAAGAATGCATACAGTCAATAGTTTGTTAAATTTTTGTTTGTTAAACTTTTATTGTAAAGTTTCATATGCTTTTAACTGTTTTATTTTAAGCAGCCATGACCCAGTGATAAGAGTTCTGCCTCAGAACCCAGAGGCTCGAGGTTTGACGCTGGGTTTGGTCCAATAAGCGACATTGGTAAGGAAGAAGACATGAATTTCCTTGGTAAATGCTCTTCCACGGTGCTCTGTGATAAGACCAAAAGGGCTATTGAAAGAGTAGCATCTTAACAACTACAAAAAAAAAAGTTTGTGTGTATATTTGTAAAAGTTTTTTTTTGTATTTTTTTTTGGATGAAAATATGAAGAAGAAAATTCAAACATCTTACTACTTAAATATGTCTTATAAGAAACGGTTTATTTAAATGAAATTAATTTATTAATTAAAGATGTGTTGCCATTTTTTTCATAGTCGATATCTGTATCGTATCATTTGTTTTTGTTAATTTTAACAAAGGTTTCATTACGTGAAGCAAAAGAGTTGAAAGCCAAAACTCCAAAGAAATGCTTTATATATAGAAAAATATTCTATTAATCTTCTTAATAAAATAATCTCTTAATCTTTAATCAAATTTAATTTAGTTGAATATTTAAAACATTATGTTTTTAATGTATTGAACATTTTTTATTATACTAAGACGTATTTTTTTTAGAAAAAAAGAATTTCCACTTGCATCATTAATTGCATTCTAATAATGATTTTTCAGGTACAACTTAATATTTTTTATTTTGTTAATTTTTGTAATCTTTTGTAAAACTTTGTAAATTTTTTTTGTAATCTGGGTGTATATGGCCTCCAATGTACTTTTTAATCCTACAGTATTATATGGTGTTACAACATATTTGAGGTGATATTTTACTTCTTGTGTAATAAAGTCACCTGCACTCAGTTTATCAGTAGGCATGAGTCTTGAAGCTCCATAGCACATTTGCAAAAAATATTGGAGCATTTTTAAATATGATTTCCTAACCGAATTTTTGAAGCATTTCTAAACTCAAAGTTTATTATATCACAGAAAAAACAGACTGAAAACTGTTTCTTTTTCTCTCCTTTTGAAGCTTTTGTTGTTTTAAATTTCATGCTACATGATTTGCTAATTCTCCAATATTCAAGCTATACCCAAACCTTTATCTAGCTTGGACAAATCTAATACCATAGGATGTGAGTCAAGTTTACCAAAACCTGAAACATTTTAAACTAATGTTTTCTACCCTTAGCAAATTAATAGCAAATAATTGCAGAAAAAAACACTGAAGAAATTGTTTTTCTCCAGACATAAGCAAAATAAATTTTTTCACACAAGATTGTCTTGGAGAATCAAAAATCAAAACTTTATTTTTTTCTCACTACATTTGCTAGGATAAATTCTAAACATTTTGATTGCATCTTTTGTTTGATATCTTCCAACAATCATCAAAACTTCTTTCACTTTTACACTGATTGTTCTTATGTGTACAAGAAACTGAAGATTAATCAAATACTTTTTGCCATGCATTTTGGAACTCGTTCTGTCTGTGCTTTTTTAATTCAGTCACATTCTCCTGCATACAGCTATTTCAGTATGACATAATCCAATAACATTTCATGCAATAATAAATACACAAAGATGTAATTGTAGAAGATATTGACCTAGTTAGTTTATGTTAAATTTAAACACAATTGTTTAATGTAATTTTATTTTTTACAGTTTCAACTTAATTTCACATAAAAACCTAAAGTAACAATCTTTAAAAACTTTGTTTATATTTAAAATAAAAAAACGTAGGTACACAAAATTGTTTAACTAATTTAAAAAAATCATACTCTAAAGTGTTTGAGAATCAATAAAAATCCAGTTACAGCTATTTTCCTTGACTCAAGGTTTCTAAAAAGAATGCTTTATTACAACATTAGTTATTTATTTCAAAATAAACATTTTCATTAAAAAAATAAATAAATACAATATCAGTATAAACATTTTTTAAATTAATATACTTCAAAATAAACTAATTAAATTAAAGAACAAAAACTCCTGATAAAAATTTAAAGTATTTTTTTTTATCAATTAATTTTATGCAATTAAAAACACCTGGATTTCATTACAGACATTTTTATAATAAAAGCTGATGATGAAAGCTGGACACAAACTCTAGATCTAACTAACTTTTGAGTGTTCTTGTGTTTTGTTACGTATTTTCAGTTTTTTTTAAAAAAAGACTGGTAATAAAGAAAAAAGACTGGTAATAAAGTTTAAAACTCTAAAGATTTTTCAGGAAAATAAACTAAAGCTTTGTAGAACATTTGCAGTTGTGTAGTAATATTAAAATTATATTTTTAGAAACAAGAGAATGACCTACTTGGTTTATAATTATTTCCTTCCTCCCTACCCCCTACCCTCCTTCCTACCCCTAACTTTGAGCAATTTTACAAAACAGGATCCAGTATTTTTCTAAACTACTAGAAGGATTATATTCAAGATTTATAAGCTCCATACATCTACATTTAAGTAGAGATTTAGTTTTGTATGTGACAGTTACTGACAACATTTACACACCAAATAAAGCAATTCAATCAATTGCTTTTAAATTTAAATTTGCTTTTTTGACTTGACATTTGCTTTATAAACAAGAAGTCACAACAGCTTAAGCTTTAATCAAAATTTTGAAATAATAGTAAACAACTTTCTGAATAAACTATATTTTCTAAAATAATTTGTTTTTAAAAACTGATGATTAAAAAATGCTTCCTGAATTCTCAAAGATTTAAAATAATTTTTTTTATTTAAATTTAATTTAAAAAAAGAAAAAGAAATTTTGAGCAAACTATTTACGACAAACTGCAATGAAAGACAAACCATAAAACACTTTATACCAAGTGAATATGTGTAAGTAAAGCTTACAATCGTAGCATATTCACAAGCGTACTTTGCATAATGTGCTTAATGATGTAAATTTTATAATTTATAACATTAAATTCAACTCATTAAAAAAGGATATTACAAAAAATACCACATTTGTTAAAAATAAGTTAAAACTCACAATCATATAAGTAGACACTTGTTGTTACTTAATAGTTATAAAGCTGATTAGATGTGATTAATTATAATTATTAATCTAAATTAGTCATTAATTATTAATCTAAATTAGTCATTAATTATTAATCTAAATTAGTCATTAATTATTAATCTAAATTAGTCATTAATTATTAATCTAAATTAGTCATTAATTATTAACCTAAATTAGTCATTAATTATTAATCTAAATTAGTCATTAATTATTAATCTAAATTAGTCATTAATTATTAATCTAAATTAGTCATTAATTATTAATCTAAATTAGTCATTAATTATTAATCTAAATTAGTCATTAAAAGGAATTAAACTTAAAAAATTATTAGTTAATAAAGATGTTTCAAGGTGACTGATGTGGATCTGCTGCTACACCACTGTCAGGTTTAAGCATTTACCACATAATAGCAGACACTTGTTGTTACTTGATAGTTATAAAGCTGTGGTTAATCATTAATTTAAATTAGACATTTAAGGTACTTTGACAGGTTTAAACATTTACCACATAATAGATATTTAATTGAACCACATAATAGATATTTAATTGAAATATCTAAATAATAGATAGTGTATTTAAAATATTTTATTTTGCATAAACAATTCTAATAAAGAACTAAACTTTAGTTTTATAGAAATTCTGAATATCAAAACACTTTTTTTTAATTGAGTTCAATTTAGTGTTGGGACATTAACACCTGCCCCCCCCACACCCACACACACACACCAACACACCCAACACCATCGTGACTTAATAATAGGGGGGAATCAACTATAAATCATTTTGTATGACAAAATGAATACTAATAGGTTACCCTGCTTGGCTAGATCTTAGAAATAGTCCAGGAAAGGTGCCATCATCTGATCACTAAATAGAACTATGGGTATAAACATATGGTAGCATACAGTCTAATTATAAATTATGCACTTACTTAGAAAACATTGATTTCTTTAAAACCAATATCAAAGAATCTTTAATTGTGAGACTGACTTTCATTAATGGCTGCAAAAAATTATAAAATAAAAAATAAAAATAAAAATTATAGAAATATAAAGTATTAAAGGTTTATCAAAATAATAAAATCAAAAGATCATAAAACTATTTGTTTAGCAGAATAAGAATTTGTTTATTAAAAAAAAATTATCAAATAACATTTTTTATATTTAAGAGAAAGTTCTTTACTCATGAACTTGTTTATTAAAAAAAAATTATCAAAGAACATTTTTTATATTTAAGAGAAACTTTAACTCACTAAAGCATTTTTAGTCAAAAAGATAAAATTTTTAGTCAAAAAGATTGAAATCTAAAAGTTAAAAACCTACTAAAACAGCTTTTAGAAGACCTTCAGCAGTTGTTACACTTAAAGTAGATACGTAGTCAAAAACATCTTTAAACTAAAGATTTTTTAACACAAAAAACACAGTTAAAACACAAATATTACTATTAGTTACATACTTCATTAAATAAATGAAAACACAAATATTACTATTAGTTACATACTTCATTAAAAACATTTTTTACAAAATTCAATAAAAAACTAAAAAAATCAACAAAAATAACTTTTGATATGCAGTCAAGAACTATCTGTGGAACACTAGCCACCAAAAGAGACAGCAAATCTAGCAAAAAAAAAGTTATAAAATAATTCAATTAATGTTAATTAGTAAAGGGTCATCGATAATGTATATATGATTTTATTTCAACCCCCCCCCCCCCACTGCACTTTGATACTCCCTTTTTTGAGTACACTCCACCTCCCTAAAAGTAACAACACTTTTAACCTACCAACATTTTATGATTTATGATTTTTTTTAATTTAGTATTTCCTTACTTTTATAATTAACCCCTGCCCCTCCCCCAACTTATATATGCTATTTGCAGAACCCCTTTCTCGCATCCGAGCGTACATACTTGGACAATCCCTAAGTGGGGTCTTGAACACTCCTTTATCTGCTTTAGAGATTTTAATCATTTGAGCAACGCAAATGTATTAGCAGAGATTATTATATTGGACAAGGATATAATTTATTAAACACTACATACATACATATATACTATAGCAGATCAGCAATTCAATAATTTTTGTTTAATCAATGTATCAAAATTTTGATTAAAGCATAAGCTGTTTTGACTTCTTGTTTATAAAGCATGTAAAGTCAAAAAAATAAATTTAAATTTAAAAACAATTGATTGAAGATTGAAATAGCATTTGCTTTAGCAGATCAGCAATTGCTTATTAGTTTTGCTTACCTTTAAAGAAGAAAAAAACAAAGAATAATAAAAGAAAAGATTATTTTCCCATCCCAAACCCTCATTCAAAGTAGCAGCACTCCTTTGCAGCAGCAGACTATAAGATAATCATTTTATTTACTGAAACCCTCTGGCAACAGGCTCTTTGTTTGTAGGAATGTCTACACGTGTAACAAGACAAAATACTAGTTTAAAAATAAATCCATGTATCAACACAAAAACTTTCTTTCTCAAGTTGTTTATGAAATTGTAGGTCTATGTCACATCACAAACTACAAGCTCTTTAGACTTGGAGTTAGTAATATACTAACACCAAGTTAAAAGAGCCCATAGTTTGTGATATTGAATTAAAATTCAATAGAGGTTGGTCTGCATTCTCTAAGATTGGTCTGCATTCTCTAAGAGGTTGGTCTGCATTCTCTAAGTTCAACACAAAGCTCGAAAATCCAAAAAAGTAAAAAAAAAAAAAAAAAAAAAAAAAAAAAAAAAAAAAAAAAAAAAAAAAAAAAAAAAAAAAAGAGTCTATACATTGTTTTTTTGGGTAATGACATACACAAAAAAGGTTTGTTTGACAGTGATTATTATTATACAAATAAAGAATTAGTATATTTTAATGATAATATATATTTTATTAATATTTCAAAGTTAAGACTTGATTGTATTACCCAAACCCCCACCCACTTTCCTTTGTATTACATAAACCCCCGCCCACTCTCCTTCTGCAATTAAACACTTTTACATTTAGTTAAGCCCTGTTACTACAACTGATTTAATACCTGTGGAAAAGATCAAATGGACAATCTATATTTTACCTTGGCTTGTATCCTGCAGTTTATATATAATTTTGCCATATGGCAGTGCATTACCTTTTTTTTTTTGGATAAACAAAAGTGTTGCTATATTTACTAAATAAATTTGTTTTTATATTTATCATTTATATTATTTTTTGGATGTCTTGTTGTCTTTATAATTTTTTTTATCTTATAAACACTTCTACTTCTACTTGTTTATACTTACATTATTACTTGTTCTTGTCTTACAAACACTTGTTCTTGTCTTACAAACGCATGTTTTTTTAATATCAATAAAATTAGTAAAAATGTTATGCTAGAGATTTTTGTATGAAAGCGAATAAATACATAAATATATACAATTAATAAAAAAAGCAGCTGGTGAACCGGAGTTCAAAGAAGTGTGATGCTTCTCTAATTATATTATTTTTTTTAACTGTTGCTTTTTTTATGTTGTTTTTATTCATATGGCAAATACATTATATGTGTAAACTTGAAATTTTCAGATTTAAAATACTTTTTAAAACTTTTATCTTTAATTTCTGCTTTCAATTTCCATTTATACTCTAATAATCTTGCAATATTTAAAGATAAAAATAAAAAAATTAAAATCATAACAATGCTCTTAATTTACATTTATAATATATTTTATTAATTAGTTGCTTTATTAGTTACGTTCTTTTATTTGTTATTTCTACTTATAGGGTATTTACAACTATTGATAAAAACTCCAATAAAAATTATTACCAAGATAGTGCTTGATGTCATTTTGTACTTTTAAAACTATGACATTTAGAATTCCTTCAATTATACTTTCTCTTGCTGTCTCTATATCCTAAAACAAATATAATTGCATTGATAATTATATAAGCAAAAAGCGTAATCGTTTACACTATTAGTTATTCAGCCAGGAATTCAATTAACAAACCATATTATATATTGAGCAATTTAATAATTATGTCAATGCTTACTCATGCAACTTGTGCATGCTTGCACAAAACTTGCGGCAGCCATTAAACCCTAATTAATGGCAAGAAAGAGTCTCTTAGCACTTTTTTATTAAAAAAATTCAAACGAAAAAAAATTTCAAAATTGAAACAAAAGTGTATGCAAGTATCTAACTCATGTTATTTTAAAAAATTGGGAATGGTAAAGTTTAACTTAAGTTTTTAGTTTTACATTTCAAGTTTTATACAACTTGTGTAAGTCAAATTTGTGCAAGGAAAATGGGTATATAACATGTATATATTTATTTATTTTTCATTTATTTTTATTTTATTTTAAGTTATACTTTTGCAGTATTTTTAAATAAAATTATTTTGATTAGTTGTAAAGCTGTTGTGATGTTGCACTTTGTATTTTTCTACTTAAATATGAAGATAACAATTACATTAAGCTGCCAAGCGTGTTACATTTTAAATGCATTATTGTTAGGTAACGAAAAATGATCTGTTTTGCAGCTAAATTTATAGAAACTGACAATGATCTTACTTTAAATACAGTTATTTTTTATTTTTTGTTGGTTTTAAATAATTTTATGTTAGATATTCAATCTTGTTTTATATGAATCTAATTATTTAGTACAGTGTTATTAGTTTGGTGGTGATAAAAAAAGGAATAGAGGTTAGATTTTATAAAGTTAAATTTACTTTTAAAAACTGCTTTAAAAATTTGCAAATGCTTTTTTTTGGTTCTTAAGTTAACGTGTTTTTTTTTGTATTAAATGTTTAAAGTTAACTATTTTAGTTTGTATTTTTAATTTTAGTGGCACAGCTTATCACAAATTGTAAGGTTTTAATTTATAATTTATCTTAAATCTAAATATAAAACTGAATAAAAAGATTCTTTTAATTTAGTGTTACAGTTTTTATTTATCTTAAGGTGTTAAAGTTATAGTTACTTATGCATTGTTTTAAAATTATTATGCGCTGTTTTAAAATTATGCTTTGTTTTAAAAATTTTATGCGTTGTTTTAAAATTATTATGCGCTGTTTTAAAATTATTATGCGTTGTTTTAAAATAAAACTTTGATTTAGTTTGATTAGTTGCTGAGAAGTTTCAGTTTGTTTTTTTTCTCTTTAGATATAGAGATAATAATGAAAATAAGCTGCCCACATATGTTACATTTTAATTAATAGTTTTAACAAAACTACAAATAGTCTTTGTAAATACAAACAGTCTTTTGTTAAAACTATTGATTATAATGTAACATATGTTGGCAGCTTATTGTTACTATCAAATTAAATTAAAAATATTTTATTATAAAGTATTTTTAATTTAATTTGATGGTATGAATAAATTATATTATTTTCTTACTTATAAGATTTTTTGCTCATTATAAGTTGAATTTTATTATTTTAGTTAATTCAATTAGAGGCTTTATCATTTAGTAAATTATTCCTTTATCACCTATAATATTGAATAATACTGGTCAATTATTCTTTTATCACCTATAATATAGATGATTTTTTAAATTTTATTCAAGTCTTCATTTCCATTTTTAGTTAAGTCCAATCATCTGTATTAGCTGTAAAAGTTACTGCAAGAATCAACACTAATGATTCTTACAGTAACTTTTTCAGCTAAGAAGTATACTTTAGCTCCTAAAGATCATACACTTAAGTTTTTTTTCTTTATATATATAAATTGATAAAAACACTTATCGTTTATAGTTAATACTTAATTTAATGCTGCCGCTGCCCATTCATGCGCGTTTACACAGACTTTTTTACCATTTATTATAAATAGGATTTAGCACGCTCCTTCCCTTTTTACTTTTGAACTCTCACGCTATGAGGTACTCTCAAATCTTAATAATCTATCAATATAGTAATAAGATCGAAAACTTTGCTTCATCAACTTAATTAGTAATAAGATTTTAACTTGATAACTTCTGTAGTAAAGGATTCTGTAGTAGTCAAATCTATGTTACATGTTAAAGAACAAGATCATTTAATACCTTATTTTAAAGAAGTTAAAAAATCCATTTGCTTTAATATAAAAAACCAGATTGTTTGATCGTTTGTTTTTCCAAGTTGTTAAACATTTATTACTTGGTATGTCATTAAACAAATATTATAAAAATAAGGTTGTATTTGTAAAGTTTTTAATTTATATATTCTTCTTAATTTATATATTTATTTTTATTTGTGTGTTAATTATTATGTGTTTATATGTGTTAAGGTTATATGGTTTTATATTTTGTAAGTGTGTAAATTTCTTTTACATGTGAGTGTTTCTATGTTTGTGATATAATGTTATTTGTTTATAGTTTGTAAGTGGTTATTATGCTGTTTGCATGGATTCAAATTGTTGTGACTTGGCTTAGTTTACAGCAAGAATGTTGAACTTGCTAGCCAAGTGGTGTACTTTGCTATAATGTGACAGCTGTGTTGGGAGCAAGATTGTTGTCCATGCCAGTTGAGTGGAGTACTGTCATGATGTAACACATAAATTAAATCTGTTTGTAGGTGAGTATACAACATGTTAAAATATAAGTTTTAGTAACTTTCATTAAATTTTCAGGATTTTTTGTATAGAAAATGTTTTCTTTATATTATTGTTTTATTGTTTTATATATATATATATATATATATATATATATATATATATATATATATATATATATATATATATATAAATATATATATATATATATATATATATATATATATATAAATTATGTTTGTGTATTTTACAAATAGAGTTCTCAATGTTTCTAAAGAATAGAGCAATAATATATATATATATATATATATATATATATATATATATATATATATATATATATATATATATATATATATATATATATATATATATATATATATATATATATATATATATATGTTTATATATATATATATATAAATTATGTTTGTGTATTTTACAAATAGAGTTCTCAATGTTTCTAAAGAATAGAGCAATAATATATATATATATATATATATATATATATATATATATATATATATATATATATATATATATATATATATATATATATATATATATATATATATATATATATATATGTATATATATATATATATATATTGTAAATCTTGCATTAAATGTGTTTCAAAGTAATGAAAGGGTTTTTATGATGGATGATTACATTTTATCGTTACATGCTAGCAGTACTTGCTGAACCTACGGACATTATAGTTTTTTCAATTTGTTTTATTTATGAGTTCTTATATGTAAAAAATTTATTTTTAAACTACTTTTTGTTGTTTTTTTGATTAAATACTAATAATATGTTGTCAATAATTAATAACAACCACCTTAAATATATAGCAATAGTTAAAAAGATTATATCCTAATACTCAGTTAAAAAGATTATATCAATTTATTTATAACTTTAGTTTAAGTTCTTGATAGAAATATGTTGCATTTACACATTGCTCAATTATTTTAAAACATTTAATTTAAATATGACTAATAGTAGATTTAATAGATGATTTAAACTTAGTAAACTTTAATTATTCAAAATTTGCTAAGTTGATCATTTGCTAATAGTTTAAAAGGAAATTAGTAGTCACAATCAAGGTAAGAATAACTTTATTTTCTGACCAAATTGCAAAATTTGTTTGCACTGATAGCTATTATGTTTTTGTTATTTTGAGTAATACCTGATTGTTTTTGCAATAAATGTCTTTTCTTACAGATTCGATTATTTTTAATAATGCTCTAGAAAAAGCATCAGCAACAGGTAAACTAGTTTGTAGTGTTAATCTTTTATTATTTTATTTAGTGTTAATCTTAATTTATTATTATTAATTTTTTCATTTTAGACATATTTTACAATGCTTTTTCAGCTTATTGCAGATCAAACAGAGGGCCCACTCTCATAAGGCGCATACAAGCTTAAATTTAGGGCACAATCCCCCCCCCATCCTTTTAATTATTTATTTTTTAAGTAGAAAGTAAAGTATGAGGAGAGAGAAAGATGGGGAAAAAATATGCTGCATCTATAATTATTATTTTTGTAGTTGGCTAATCTACCTATTGGTAATGGATAATGCAAATTTAGTTAAACTTTTTTGTAAATACATACTTTTCTTTATATATTTTGTTTTGTTATTATGTATAAATAAAATGATTTCCAATTAATACATATTTAATTTTTTTCCTTTTTTAATTCGATTACTCTTTAGATTAATCGATAGATGATGTGTTCAATCGATAGATGATGTGTTCAATCGATAGATGATGTGTTCAATCGATAGATTAGATGATGTGTTCAATCGATAGATTAGATGATGTGTTCAATCGATAGATTAGATGATGTGTTCAATCGATAGATTAGATGATGTGTTCAATCGATAGATTAGATGATGTGTTCAATCGATAGATTAGATGATGTGTTCAATCGATAGATTAGATGATGTGTTCAATCGATAGATTAGATGATGTGTTCAATCGATAGATTAGATGATGTGTTCAATCGATAGATTAGATGATGTGTTCAATCGATAGATTAGATGATGTGTTCAATCGATAGATTAGATGATGTGTTCAATCGATAGATTAGATGATGTGTTCAATCGATAGATTAGATGATGTGTTCAATCGATAGATTAGATGATGTGTTCAATCGATAGATTAGATGATGTGTTCAATCGATAGATTAGATGATGTGTTCAATCGATAGATTAGATGATGTGTTCAATCGATAGATTAGATGATGTGTTCAATCGATAGATTAGATGATGTGTTCAATCGATAGATTAGATGATGTGTTCAATCGATAGATTAGATGATGTGTTCAATCGATAGATTAGATGATGTGTTCAATCGATAGATTAGATGATGTGTTCAATCGATAGATTA